CAACCACAAGGACCCACAACTAAAATATACGACTGCATACTGGGAGGATTCGGGGAGAAAAAGCAGAAAAAAAAAAGATTGGCAACAGTTGTTAGCTCAGGTGCCAATCTTTAAAAAAAAAACAAAACAGAGAGCCAAAAGATTGAAAGAGGTTAGCTCTTAGAACAGACCTGACTATGTGGCAAAAGGAACTGCTTTATAACTATAAACTATAACCTTACTATGATTTAAAAAATCAAATTAATTTAAAAAAAAAGAAAAGAGACAGATTGGGAGAGAATATTTCCAACTATATAATAGCTGAAGTAGTAAAGTCCATAATATATCAAGTTCCTGCAAACTGATAAAACCACCCAACAGAAAAAGGCAAAGGGTATGAAGACATAAGTCACAGAACAAATACAAAACAGCCAATAAACATACGAAAAGATGCACAAGCTGGTTAGCAAGACAGGAAATGCAAATAAAAACACCAATCATACCACTTTTTGCCCTATTTGAAAGATAATTAAATCTTCAGCATTAGGCAAGGTGTAAAGAAACAGGATTTTCATATAGCTGGTTGGAGGGTCAACTGGCTATCTTTTTAGAAGAGAATGTGTCAATACTTACTGCACCTTAAAATATACCTATTGGTTGACCCTTCTCGGAGTTAAAAGTACTCAAACATGTACGGAAGGACAGCTATAAAAGATTCTCTACAGCTCCAGGGATCAACAGAAAAACGATAAAATAAACTACATGCATTCACGCAACGGCATACTATACAACTACTAAATAAATATAAAATAGTTCTATTTTAGAGAACTATAAAAACAAACAGAACAAAGTTGATCTCTATGTACTGATAAGGAAAGTTTTCAAGACATAGTGCTAAATAAAAAAAACTGCTGCAGGACAATATATGTGTGGTATGGGCCCATCTAGGTCAAAAAAACTGTGTAACTGCCATTTCAAGTGGACTGAGAGGACATATATCAAACTATAGACAACGGTTGTTTCAGGAAAACAGAAGAGAACTGAGGGATAAAGTAGACTCTCTATTCTTTCATATTATTTGACTTTTTGCAAGTAAACTTTCACATATTTATGTAACAAAATATTTTTTAATAAACAAAAGAAACGTAATATAGCAAAGAGAAAATAAGAGTGGAAAATTAAATATAAAAAGGAAATTCCACATGGTCGGGGCCGGCCCAGTGTTGTAGCAGTTAAGTTCATATGCTCCACTCTGGTGGCCCGGAGTTCACTGGCTCAAATCCCGGGCACAGATCTGCGCACTGCTTATCAAGCCATGCTGTGGCAGGTGTCCCACATATAAAATAGAGGAAGATGGGCACAGATGTTAGCTCAGGGCCACTCTTCCTCAGCAAAAAGAGGAAGATTGGCGGCAGATAGTAGCTCAGGGTTAATCTTCCCCCCAAAAAAGGGAAATTCCATATGGTATACAATCAGCTAAGGTGACACAGGTTAATTCTGTGTCTAATTCTGCTTTAAATATCATTGCATGCAATTTAATATTACTAAATACAGCTAAAAATATGGTCCAATAAACAAAGGGCAAAAGCTAGTTAACAGCAATGACCAATTACTTTTGACAAGAGTATATTATAGCATAGAAGCAAATCGAGTCACCTTCACTTTGAATTGTTTCTACTTCTATTTATTGTCAAAACTACTATTTCTTTTCCTGTCAGTACTTTGAGGCTCTTGCTCATAGGCCATCATCTCATCTAAAACAGCCAACAGATATCTAATCATCTTTATCCTAGCCCTAATTTTCTCCACACTATACCCTCCCACAAAACAACAGACCCTTCTTCAGAGTTTTATGGTAATTTTGAACTTTCCTAACTATTCTTGCTAGCTCATACTCCAGATACCCTAGCAGAGGATGGCAATTAGAAGTGAAAAAGTTTAAACCAACTGAAAAATAAAAGCAAAAGTGTGATTCACATCCCTGAATGAGTTTTTTTGCCCACTGAAGCCTCTAAATTGAGACTTACTCTTGGAGAACATTTCCAAAACACCCTTTATTTGGTGGCATCCATATGGCTAATGGATATTCAAGAGCAAGACTCTGTTAACTGGGTAGTGGTAAAATGTGATTAAATTTAATGAAAGCCAAAGCTAAAATAAAAACGATTTTATCATCAATCCAACATATAACAAATACTATAAAATCTAAATGAGAACAGATCGATCTAACAGCTCTTGTAAATCTCCATGCTGGCAAAGCACAAAGAAGGGGCAAACCAGTTCTCAAAACAAAACTGGAAAAAAGCTACTTTGAATTGGAAAAATACTTTATACGTTTTAAGTGGCAAAACAACAAACTGTAATTTTTTATATATTCATATAATTCATATATTCAACAGAGGGAAGTAAACTGTAAACATGGGACATGTCACTTTGTCATTTTCACTGTTATGTTCTAAAACTGACATGAGCGCTAAAAATCAAACAAAACATCTTTCCCCAAAAGCATCAAAGTAAATCTTCATGAAGCTAATTATTAGTAGAGAGAGCATGACACTTTATTAATCTTAAAATTTAAGTATAAGAAATATAGGGGCCAGCCTGGTGGCGCAGTGGTTAACTGCGCACGTTCCACTTCTCGGTGGCCCAGGGTTCGCTGGTTCAGATCACGGGTGCAGACATGGGACTGCTTGGCACAAAGCCGTGCTGTGGTAGGCGTCCCACATATAAAGTAGGGGAAGATGGGCATGGATGTTAGCTCAGGGCCGGTCTTCCTCAGCAAAAAGAGGAGGATTGGCAGTAGTTAGCTCACAGCTAATCTTCCTCAAAAAAAAAAAAAAAAGAAAAGAAATATAAAAGTAAGTCACTGAGTGTTGCAGCTCAGGTTCTGACCAGTCTTTAAGGATTCAGAACTTCCTAAGTGCATGCTGAGGGGAGTGATCAGAGTGAGAAAGTATCCACTGTTCCTTTCCTGTTTTCATTCAGATATCAACTGCCTTAAGGGGCTGGAAATGAGACAGGTCCCTTTCTGACCCTGAAGCATCAATAATATGTACAGTGTATATGGATACTTGTCACATTTATCTTCCCAACCTGAACAAAAAGACACATTTTTTTCCTTTTTTAGAAATTAAATTTTCTCAAAAACCAGGTAATATTTAAGATGAATTCCTTTGGAGTTTGGACACTCAAGATTTTGATGAACTTTAAGTGTTTTCCTCTTGATGACAATGTACCACCAATTTACGCTTTCCTATTTACCCTATATTTGCTGGTTCCTAGAAAATACATAATATCCTTACTAATATTTTAAAAGTGTTACAGTATAGAGCAGAAAATAGTTACAGTAGCAAATCCTCTCACAATGTTGTTGTAGAAACGGATTCTGATGGTGATATTTACTTGCATAGTCTCCCTTTTTCCTCAGAAGAATCCCATAAGATAAATCCTATTATTATTCTCATCATTTTACAGATGGGGAAGTGAGGCTTGAGAGATTAAGTTCATAACTCAGAAATCTGAACTCCTAACCACTATACACTTCATTGTCTTTCCTAAATAAAGTCAGTTATTCTATTTCAATACCGGCTTTTAGAACCATGTTTTTAACCATGAGGACTTGGAACACCCAAGTTTCATCAAAATGAAATCTTCCCTTAATATCACACATTGTATTTTGTTAGTTTTCTGCTCCTTTTAAATTCTATGATCAGACAGGAGGGGAAAGGAACTAACATTTATTCATATGTATTATAATGCCAAGAACTGTGCTGAGCAACTCAATAACTTCACCTTATTTAATTCTTATAGTCTTCCAATGAGGTATCTTTAATTTTACAGGTGAGGAACTAAGCCTCAGGAGGTTAAATAATTTCCTCAAAAGCAAATGGCTAATAACTTACAGAGCTGGGCTCTGTACTCAGGTTTGCACAACGCAAAGTCCTTGGGTTTCTTTTTAACCTTACCCTGATACCTTCCAGAGTGCAGAAACCATAGTACTTTAAGAAATACACATGTTATATAACAGACGAAACACAGCATACTACATTACTGCACGTACCATACAAATATACAAAACATTAAGAATTCATTAAAGGATTTGTAAGTCTCTAAAGTTTTCCTATACAAAGTAATATTGTATGAAGATAAAAGACTAAATATTTCTGATATTAAAGCTTCCATTCCACTTCTATTAATCCAAACAAAAAGTTATCAAAAATTAAAATGTTACAGTGACAGCATACTACTACAAAGGTTAAAATATGGAATACATTTTCCTAAGACTTATTGAGGTGTTTGCAATTTCTAGCCAATCTTACCATAAAAGTAAACAAATTCTTCTACTTGAAAATACACCTAAAAAAATCAATGAAAATGTTTAGCTGATGACAACATGGGTGCCATAAAAAAATTAATAGCACAGTAATACTGTCGTCATTTCCTTGATTGAGAAAGAGGTAACATTTCCAGAAAAATCTCCAGGAAAGTAGACAATATTTTATTACCAGTTGAAGGCATCCAGGTTTGCAGCCAAAGAATTTCAAAGCCTCCTAAAATTTTTGCTTTGAGAGGCTTTGAGTATAAGAAATTTACACCTCATTAATGCAATTGTTTTATGAATGAAAGATACCGGTATAAGACTTTAAGAGTTGTAATGTTCTCCAAAATTGAAGTATCATCTCATACCTAGTATTCAATGTATTAGAAGATTTACCAGGTAATCTCCTGCTTAGCAGTGAGGAAACTGTCATCATTTGCAGTTCTCAGCACTTTTATATCACAGAAATTCATGATGCATTTTTGTCATATAATTTTACTTCTTCATTTTCCTCATGAATGTGTAGAATTAAGTGAAATCATAACATTCTTTTTAAGAACACTGTCAGATTTCTTTTAGGACACCATAAAGATGTTAACACAAAGTTTCAAGATTCACGTAAATATCTCAATTCTATAACTGAGTATCTGCCTGATTTACTCTCCATCACAGAATTTTACAAACGTCTGAAGTTAAGACTTACCTGCTTCATTGTTAATTGGGAACTCCCACAGTTTCCCCTCTTTCGTCCACTGGATCATCTCTTCAAAACCATTCTGAAAGGGCTGTTCATTTACTGCGGCTAACTGCTTAGCAAATTCCACATCCCACAGTGAAGGCGCTGTCTCTGTTTAATAAAAGCATTCCAATAAGTACAAGTCAATGTAAATATCTTTATTTCTAAAAATGTTATGATCAACTCTGAATTGGTAATACATTTTCAGACCTTGAAGCTCATAATTAAACAGTATATAATGAAAGGTCACTCTCTGAAAGCTAAAACTGAAAAAAAATGATGTATAAAGACTACAACTACAAAAATTGCAAGTCTTAACTTTTGTTTCACTACAATATCAGGTAATCAATTCCTAAAGTCTCACTGCCCCCTCTACTGGAAAGGAAAAAAGGAAATGTATATTTTGTTTAAGGATGTTTTAATGAATGTGAATATTTTTTACACAACACGTGACTTTGATTCCAGCCGGTTTATCTCTATTTTTAGTCTGTCAAGGTAAGTCACTAATGTACTACTAATAAAGACCAAAATAGTTAAATTATCATAATTTTAATAACAATGATAATAACACTACTACTAACGGATATTGAGCTCTTACTCTGTACTAAATGCTTTTTACGCATTAGTTCATTTAATCCTCACAGCCAACTCTATGAGTAAGGTAATACAGTGTTAGCTTATAACCATCTTCATATCATATGTTTCAATCATTTATTTGCTTTGGAAATTTAAGATATCTTTCAAGAATAAGTCATATTCCCTCTAGTCATCGATGGTGGGAATGCAAAGTGGTAAAACCACTTTGGAAAACAATTTGGCAGATTCTGAGAAAGTTGAGAATACACTTATCATACAACAATTTTACTCCTAGATATTTACCCAAAAGAAAACATATGTCTATACAAAGACTTGTACATGAAAGTTCATGCATGATCATGCCTCACCACACACTGACTGCTGGATATTGAGTATGCTGGCCTAGAACATTTGATACACAGAAAAGATCACAGCAGTTAGGCTCAGTTAGCCACATTTACAGAGTAATCATACAGTGAAATAACTTATCATGGTCACTTTTTTGATTTATTCAGTGGCCACTGATCAACTTATGTCTTTTCCATGATCATCATCCTGATCCTGATCATCATTAACAGCTGCCAATTAGTGAATGTCCACGGTGTTCCAGGCACTGTGCCTGACACTAATTATATTACTTCATTTAATATTTGAGATGTATGTATTTACCTCATTTTATACATGGGGAAAGGGAGACTCAGAGAGGTTCGTACAGCAGAATCTGAATTTGAATAACCAGATCTACCCAACACCAAAATTCTTTCTATTAAGCTATACTGCCTCTCAGCTCTATATTACTCCAGGATAAGCAATAGGGTCTATGACCCTATCCTTTGCAGCAGTGGTCAGAACTTAGTGGGGAGCAAAATGTCGGAATTATGGGACAGAAGAACTCATTCATTCAGTCAAATAATTATTAAATACCAACTATATGTCAGGTATTATTTTAGGTGGGAGGGAAATAGCAGCGAATAATCACTAAAATTAAGTTTGCACATTCTTGTTATTCTTGTATTTAATTGGGAACAAGACATTCTTTAGACTCATGCAACTATAGCTTATTAAAACAGTACCTTCGTTAGAGTAAATTTACATAAATTTGGACATTATTTTCCTTATTAGAGTATAATAATTTTATACTGTTTTATAAAATACATATAACTGCAGTACTTCCTTGCCAGCTAATTTCAGTTTTAGGAATAAGATTTCTGATTAAAAAAAGCAAGCTAGTTCCTTCAAGAACTAAGTGCCTCTTCTGGCTTTCATTAGGTGGACAATAGTAGCTGCCCTGACGACAAATTCCCTTTTTGAGGCAAGCTTAACAGCTGCCACTTCAACACAGGAGAGGTGATCCATTCTCCATGCTTGTATTTTGTATTCCCTTTTCATCAGACAGGACAGAATGCAGTTTTCCTAATACAAGAAGGGGGGTTGTTGTCTTAGCTTCACCTTCAGTTTAAATGAACAAACACTGATTAACTCCTTTCCTCTATGGATATATACTTACAGCTCAATTTGTTCAAAAAAAAGATTTAAGATTTACAATAACTAATTCCTCTTATTTGTAAGTCAACTGGCTAGGTGCTGCTGGGTATATAATCAATGAGACCTAGCTCCTGATATCAAGGAGTTTATCAAATAGTGGGAAAATCAGATATTTATATAAGCTGATAGGAAGATTAAATGAGCCACTGGAGGCTTGCCCAGGAACTCAAATATAAAACTTGCAATTATTTCTACCAAGGTCCAAAAACCTAACTTACAATCTTTATAAATGGAAGTCACTTGTAAGCTGGAGACCATCTGTACTGAGTTTCTTCGTTTATTTTAAATTATCAGTAAACCAAAGTTAATGTCAGGCAAGAGGATGCTTGTATTTCTCTTTTAGTTAGACCTAAAATGGCAAACTTGAAGGATTTGACTTCTTACCCAAAGAAGAAAGGGGGAAGAATAGAGAGCAAAGACTAACCATGTTTTAAGAAAAAACACTATAGGTCTGCTAAATACATTCCCTGAATGCTCTTCTTCCCATGTCTTAAATAGTCAGTAAATCACTTCAGTAAGTTACTTCCATAAACGCTATCTTCTCACCTAGACAGTGAGTTGCCTTAGGACAGAAACACAGTTTATCTTTACGTAATAGCACAGAGGAAGTAGGTGATCATTAATGTTCTAACCCAGGTTAGTAGCCAACCTGTAGGTCTGGATTCAGGCAGCTGGTAGTACTTACCTCCCATTGTCTCACAGAATGCAACATTTCCAGGGAGAAATCTGACCAAGACCAGCAATGTCAACAACTACACTCATAAGCAAGATCCAGGCCGACGGCAGGGTGGAACATGAAAACACCTAACTTGTATGCAGTCAAAACATTAAGGATGTTTTTGAAACATGGAATGTTTCTACACCTGAGAAATAGTGTTGCTCTTTTCTTAACAAACCTGCTTCAGGTGCCTCTTCAGTAACTGCCTTAAGATCAAAGATATTAAGTCTCTTTCCCTTGAATATATTTTTCCTAAGACTGAAAAAGAAAAAACAATTTATTTTAATGAATATTTTTATACATGATCAACAAAAAAATTGTTTATGAGAAGAAATTTTTATAAAAATATTCAACGTAGAAATTAAAAATAATTCTAAGACCCACAGCAGACATTTTAACTAAATTGCCACATCTTTAGGACTGATAACTAAAAATAGAACCAATGCTGTTGAATTTTTGAATCATAATACAACAAGCAGTTAAAGCAGTTTAATTTCCAAAATACCTAACTGAAAAGACTAACTCAATTTGCCATAATTTTTACTTGATCCATTTCATATTAAGGTTTTAGAAAACTCAATGTTGTAGAAAGCTATCAGAATATGCTAAATTAGAAGTTGTTAAAGTCCACATTTCTGTGTCCTTAAAGGGCAGAAAACACTGCATGTTTAACTACAAATTATAACTATAAAAGATTACACAGATAAATAAAAACATTCCCACTTATAAAGCAATCGTTTTGTAATTTTAAAATAACAATTAACTTTCTTCACATAACTATTTTTAATTAACTGTTGAAATTAATGTCAGAGTTTAATAGGTAACTCTTCCTTGTACAATTTTAATCAACTGCTTTATGCATCAATTCACATTCCTATTGAATAAATTTACTGGCAGATTAAAATCCAGTTTATAAACTAAAAGGTTAGTTTTCTAAATAATTTTGAATTCCGGATCAAATTACTTTTTTCTACTAAATTAACTGAAAAATGCAAATATCATATTAAAAAGATAAAGTGATCTCAAGTCATGTGAAGTTTCCCTCTAGCAAGTCCCCAAATACTTGTCAACAAAGGCATTTATGCCCAGAACCATCCTCAACCCCTGCACTCTCCCTCACCTTCACGTCAGGTCAACAGGATGATGGACTACAGTAACTCACAGTAAGAAGGGAATGATTCGCTAAAGTCCAGAATTTTAAAAGAGGAAGGGAAGGGAACAGACATTTGCTGTGTATCTTCTGTATATAGTTTACACGTTTCCCTCCTATTCCTCAAGAAAGGCATTTAAGCTAGGCTTCATTTCAGCATTTTATAGATGGGGAAACAGACTGATGGGTCTGTGCAAGTTGCCCCAGGCACAGCATTCGTCAGTGGCACAGTGCCAGGATTGGAAGGCAGGCCAGCATGACTCCAAAGCCAGTGCTCACACTCATCTTTGTGAGTGACTCACACCTCTCATCTCTAACCGAAGGAATCAGTCTAGAGTACGTTTTTGGTGACCAGTCCAGACCTGGATTGTCTCAGGCTGTCCCAAGTCAGAGCAGGGTGGACAACTTGGTATCTCATTATTGCTTCCCCTTATTCTAGAGTCCCTTAGTCAGCTTTTTAACACAGTCATTACATGCACATAAACCCCTTTCCTACTTTTTTAGCTTGTCACTTTTTAATTTTTAATGACAGTTAATATCATTAAAAGTCAAATTACGACATAGCATTCTGATATAGTTGCATGGAACCATCTCAGAGGACTGAAGTTAAATATATTTGAGAAATCTTAACTAAAACGCCAAGTACACATTCTGTTGTATTCAGTAATATGTCAGAGATATAAAAGCACTTTAAATTAGTAATTCAAATAATCTTCCAAAGTCATTGTATCCTCCTGAACTTCCTTTGTTAACTACTGACCATCTTTTCCAATCTTCCTGTACAAATTAATAATTTAACTCAAGTTGCTAAGATTATACTTAAAACAAAATCCATGGCATACACAATGCATTGAAAACACTAATTGTGAGCACATCCTGGGTTAGTTTTTCTCAGACCATGCTAAATATCTGGTTCCTCCTCCAGAACTATCACTTCATGGGCTTGAAGGAGAGAAAAAGAACAGAAATTTTATGTAAATACAGACAGCTTTCTATTATAAAACAACTATGTAAGGCATGACTTAGCATCTTCAAGAACTGCAAATTACCAAATTCAAATTGCCACAAATCACCTACTACTTTAGGGTATTATAATGAACTTCTTTTTTTGATGGTGGGTTATTTCTCTAACATATGAAGAAAGATGATTATATCAACAGATATAAAGGGTATATGAATATACATTGTTAGGTACATAATCAGAATGAAAAATAATGCCTCTTGCAAAACATTCATTTGTTCAGAATTCAGTCAGCTCCACTTATTCTAAACGAGGAGACCTTTATTCATTGTAGGTAAATGTGAAGCAGGGCCCATTTTGATTTATGGTATAGAAAATTCTAGGACTGCTAAACCCAGAACATCTTTCCCTCTCTAGGAAATGGTACATGGACAGTAAGAAGACAGATATAAATGCATCCATAATGCTCAGATATCGATTGGCAATAAAGTAAACCTACAGTTCAACAAACGAAACCAAACAGACTGCAAAGCTTCAATACCTTTTCCTAAGATCAGCGGTCTTCTCCTGGCCACCATAATCGTCAGATCCTTCATCAAACTGAATCTGATGCACTGGTCTCGTGCTAACTCGAGCTGTGGCAGACTTGGCAACTTTCATATCTGATATTATGTTACTGAAACTGAAATAAGAAAAAGGTCAAGTGTATTGCAAACATTAGCTACAGAGTAGTAACAAACTTACTCAAACATGAGATTCACATCACTTAATTCATACTTTACTTCTATGCACTAATACAACATAAAAACTTATGTTTACATACAAGATTATACGTCACACATTAACATTCACATTTCACAGACCACTAAGATTTATGCTTCCCTCTTTTAAAGATGTTCTTCAGAAATGTTCATTTTAAACATTAAATTAAAAGTGTCACGAAAAATTAACATCCAGATAAGGTGATATATAATCAACGTCTGTATAATTATCACCTGGATTAAAAAACTAAATTAAAGTTGAAATTTAGCCACATTTTTTGTTGCCTTGCATTTCTGAAAATATAAATACAATGAGTGATCTGACTGACAGTCCAGTCACCTGTATTTGTTAATTTCCCAAGGTAAATCTGGTACACATGCTCACTGAGGACGACTGATTTAGATCACCCTTAAAAACAAAGCAGAGCCACCACTGACTACATTGCAGCAGCAGGCGGGATAACTTGGCCTAAAGTAATGGAGATGAGATGAGTGGAAAGATGTCAGCTAAAACATAAGAATAAGAGGAAAAAGAGAAGGAAAGAGGCCTGAAGATTATCATACTGTGCGTAAGACCAGCAAATTATTTAACTGAAAAAAATTAATCTTCTCAGAGAAACTGTCTTATTCTGTTATTTACTTATTTTTAAGAACATTACTAAATTTATCATTTCTTTTTCAGGGACCAAAAAAAAAAATGCATAATTTCTCAAAAGAAAAGCTTAACCATTCAATTAGTCTTTTAAAAACTGCAATCTTGGGGCCAGCCTCATGGCGTAGTGGTTAAGTTTGTGCACTCTGCTTCGGCAGCCCAAGGTTCACAGGTTTGGATCCCAGGCGTGGACCTACACACCACTCATCAAGCCACACTAGGGCGGTATCCCACATGCAAAACAGAGGAATACTGGGACAGATGTTTGCTCAGGGACAATCTTCCTCAAGCAAAAAGAGAAAGACGGGCAACAGATGTTAGCTCAGGGCCAATCTTCCTCACCAAAAAAACCCCCTGCAATCTTACTTAAGACATGAGTTTAAAAAAAAGCCAAATTGCTAATATTCCATCTATGAAGCATATTTTATATATAAATGAATCTATTATATATATTACTCACCAGTCACATAAAAAATAGCCTACTTTGAGATATCAGCCTTCCTGGCATAACTATTTGATTCACTAACCTAATTTTAGGTCTTTCTCCTTCTTTCTGTGCCCTTGAGTCTTCCTCGTGCTGCCGGAGCTGCCTGAGCAGCTCTGACTTGGTTGTCTGCTTGTCAAAAGGGAGAGAATCTGCAACAGCAGATGCAGCAGCCACCAACTCAGGACTCAGGGACTCACTTCTGAAAAAGAAAATGAAAAACAAATGAGAAAGAAAAAAGAGGGATTACTTATTATGCCATTAGTATAGTGGAATGTAAAATGAATTTTTTCAGAGGAAACTTTTGCTGTTCAAAAAGGTACTCAATTTCTGACGAAATCAAGAATTCTTAAATATTAGGTATTGGTTTTATATAAATTTTGAAATGTTAAAGGTTAAAGTTCATGGACACTTGCTGAAGCACAACACTAAGTCAGAACAATACATTAAGGTGGAAAGGTGAGGGATCAGCCTTAAAAATTATAAATTGGTAGATTGTTTAAATTAGATGTCATTTTATTTCAAAAACAATATATATTGTAAGCAAATATAAGAGTGGCTAACCCTGTTCATACAAGCTGTAACCCGAAAACTGGAAACAACCCAAAAGTCTATTCCAGGAGAACAGATAAATCGTGATATATCTATACAATGGAATAGTGCTCAGTTCACACCACAAAATGAAGGAAACTGAAAGAAGCTGTTTAAATAAAAAAGAGTATATACTGTATGATTCCATTTATATAAATTCTAGAAGAGGCAAAACTAATCTAAAGTGTAAAAAAATCAGAATAGTGCTTTCCTCAGGACAGAAGGCTACTGACAGGTAAGACGAAAATGGGAAATGCTCTGCATCTTACTAAGTGTGTGGGTTACACGGGCATATTCACTAAGCAAAATCCTACAGCTAAGATTTGCACACTTTAATGCATGTAAATTTTACCTAAAAAAAAACCTCATAAATCATTAATACCATCAGGTAGAAGGTGAAAAGCAAGTAAAGGCATAGATGATACAAGAATAGCAAAATGTTGGGGTCTGGCCCAGTGGCATAGTGGTTGGGTTCATGCACTCCACTTCAGTGGCCTGGGGTTCACAGGTTCAGATTCTGGGAGCAGATGTACACATCGCTTGTTAGCCATGCTGTGGCGGCACCCCACATACAAAATAGAGGAAGACTGGCACAGATGTTAGATCAGGGCCAATCTTCCTGACACACACAAAAAGAATAGCAAAATGTTGATAATTATTGAAGCTGGGTGACAGGTATAGAGGGTTTGTTATATGATTTTGCTTACTTTGTTTATGTTTTAAATTTTCCATAAAGAAAAAACTAAAAAAAACACAAAAACTATCAAAAACCTACTCTTTAGTAAATTAGGGTAAGTTCATAGAAAAATACGCCAGACATAAAAAGAAATTATTTACATTTTTTTTTTTTTCCTGAGGAAGATTCACCCTGAGCTAACATCTGCTGCCAATCTTCCTCTTTTTGTACGTGAGCCACCATCAGAGCATGGCCACTGACAAGATGAGTAGTGTAGGTCCATGCCCAGGAAATGAACACAGACCCCCAAAGTGGAGAGCACCAAACTTAATCATTAGGCCACTAGGACTGGCTTTTTTTTTTTTTGGCTGGGAAAGATTCACTCTAAGTTAAGATCTGTTGCCAATGCCCCCCCGCCCCCCACAAAGCCCAAGTATATAGTTGTATATTTTAGTTGTGACTCCTTCTAGTTCTTCTATGTGAGCTGCTGCCACAGCATGGCTACTGACAGATGAGTGGCGTGGTTCCACCACACTCAGGAACCGAACCCATGATGCCAAAGCGGAGTCCAACAGACTTTAACTGCTAGGCCATCAGGGCTGGCTCCACATTTTTTAATTCACTGAGAACTGCCATCTCAGTAAGCAGGATCCAAATTAATATTTTACTATACCTGTCTTTCTATATTATGATCTGTTGTGTAATAAGCAAATCAAAGTTCCCAAATCCCTGAAGTTGTTGGATAAAGATTTTAAGGACTTTACTTACTAAGATATGGGAGATCTACAATCTGATTAGAAGAAAAATAGGAGTATAAAAAGAGGAAATATAATAATTAGTTAAAATGAAATGTGCTACTTTCAAAACTATTATCTGTGAATAAGGATTAAACCTTATCCCAATTTCTTTTATAACTACTTGTGAAGTTTACTTTCAAATTTTAATGTGTATATTTGATCAGAGTATGCAAAGACTATAGATGGGTATTCATTTTCTAGAAGCACACATTTTATGATAATGGTGCTCTTTATAGTCATAGCTTCTGGCTTTATAATTTGAAATGTTCTAATTAACAAAAATTGTGGAGGAGCCTCTCTCATTGAGAAAATAATTTTTACATACAGGGATCTTTCTACATTGATTTAAACAAGCTGATGGGAACTTGTTGAAATATCTTTTAACAATCCATTCTACCCTATAATCAGGCTATTTCATGAATACATACTTTTTTACTTTATACCCTTCTGTACTTTCTGAATTTCTTTAAAGTGAATTATACAACATATACAATTTCAGAAAGGGAATCCTGATAAGGGGAAAGATACTATTGGGTGGACACACAAACGGCGTAACTTTTGGCAGGCAAATTGGCAATAAATATCAAGAGCCTAAAAAAGAAGCAAATCCTTTAACCTAGCAATTCCACTTCCAGGAGTATTTGTCTAAAGAAAGTAAAACAGCTTTGTGGAATCTGAGGGATACAGCACGCTCCAAACTCGAGGCCTAAGCAGTTCCATCTCGTGCTTGAAAGGTGTCTGCACGTCTTTATCCCTAACTGTATTTCAGGTCTTTGTTCAAATGTTACGTTACCAGGGTTCTTCCCTGATCACTTTTTAAAAAATAGCACCTCTCCAGCCCCACCACTCTTATTTTTCATGTTTCTTCATCTGACATACTGTGTGTGTAGTGTAAGTACACCCCCTCTCCCGCCACCACCACCTCCCCCCACCATAATGTAGGGTGTAGAGACTTTGTTTTGTTCAATGTTCTATTTCCATCACTTTGAACAGAGCCTGAGATATAACGGCAACGGAAAGTTGCTGAATGAATGGACAAATGATGTGTATCATCATTTTATACTTACAAAAAGCTAGAAATAATCTAAATTTCAAGTAGGAGAGCAATTAACTGAGTAATAGCTAAAGCTTTCTTACTGGATGATCAGAGCAGGTAGTTGCTTGGTTAAAAGAAAGTTAAAGTAGCAGCTAGAAATTTTGGTTACTGCTGCACCCACTAGGGCTTGTTAGATTCCAGATACACTCAGATTGACAAAACTACCAGACACGCCTGGCCCCAACTATTCACAAAGATGAAAGACAGAACCATAGCAGGATAGCAGGGCAGCCTCAGGTGTCGCTCCCTGCAAGAGTCCTTACGGCACTTATGTTGGTGAAACTTCACACAGCCATCCAAGAGCCATTACGGAGGTGCAGCAGCTTCCTGGCATAGTGCCACACAAGAACCGGTATCACACGCCACAGGCAGTTTCCAGGGTCCCTACAAGGGACATGCAGTACAACTGCACTCAAGGAAGCCCTAAGCATGGGATCCCCATAAGGCATCTTATAGTTCTCCCAATCCAGACGCAATCAATCAATCAGGGGTCAATTATACCATAACAGTGTTTTCTATAATACACCTGACACCTACAGTTATCAGCTTACCAGGTGCAGCAGATTGTATTTTCAGAAAATAGAGACAGAAATATTTCTGGTTGCATATGCTCTTCCAAAATCTTGCAACATCCCCATTGAAAGGGGAAATCGAGAGAGAAGGGGCAGAGCAAAATGGCAGGGTGAGCTGACCCGGGATTCTCTCCCCTCCAAAATACAACAAAGGATTGGAAAAACTGAATTTCAGAGAATAAATCTAACGTCAACACATTAGAGACCTACAATACCAAGAAGGCGGAGATCATAAACCTTGCTCACAGCCTCAGAGGCCCTGGAATGGATAGGAGAGAATGTCGCTCCCTCCCCTAGAGTCCGCCGATGGCTGCTGCGCCTCCGGGAAGGAGCAGGGGAGGGGCCACGTGACCGGGGGATCATCCAGGACTCCTGTTGCTGGTTCAGTGGAAACCCACCAACGGCCGAAAGCTTCCATGGGCGGGGACCCCATAAACCCAGTGCCTTGGGAGACCAGAGAACAGAACCGATCTGAATCCAGATCGGCACGTGAGAATAGCAGCCCCTCCCTCCCGGCAAAGCCACTGGGCGCCGCCATCTCGCCCGAAGGTGGAGAGCTCAGAACACGCGGCTCTCCACCCCCATCTAGTGGCAACAGGCTGTAACTGCAAACGAATTCCACCACCATGTGGAAAAACCGCTCCTCTACCATCCAGCAATTTATAAAAGCCCCAGACCAGAAGGAAAACAATAAAAACACAGAATTAAGTCCTTAGGACTTGGAATTAGGTAAACTAAGTAATAATGAGTTCAGAGCAGCTATAATCAAAAAACTCAATGAGGTAGAGAGAAAGATAGAGAAACAAGCCAATGAGTTCCGGCGTTACTTCACAAAAGAGATTGAAATCATAAAGAAGAATCAAACAGAATTACTAGAGATGAAAAACACAATGGACCAGATAAAACACAATACGGATTCCCTGAATGCCCGTGTAGACAACATAGAGGAGCAAATTAGCATAATCGAGGAGAGACAGGCTGAATGGCACCAGACAGAGGAAGAAAGAGAACTAAGAATTTTAAAAAATGAGGAAAATCTGCGAGAGATAGTGGATTCAATGAGGAGTAAGAACTTAAGGATCATAGGAATTCCCGAGAACATGGAAAAGGAAAATGGAGCAGAAAGTGTGCTTAACGAAATTATTGAAGAGAACTTCCCAAATCTAGGGATTGACGGAGAAATGTGTGTAGAGGAAGCTTTGAGATCTCCTAGATTTGTCAATGTAAAAAGACCTACTGAAAGGCACATAGTTGTACAATTGGCAAGAAGGAAAGATAAAGAGAGAATACTCAGGGAAGTAAGAAAAAAGCAGAGAATAACCTACAAAGGAGCCCCTATCAGACTTTCAGTGGATTTCTCTACAGAAACCTTACAAACTAGGAGAGAATGGAGTGACACGTTCAAAGCTTTAAAAGATAAAAATCTTCAGCCAAGAATACTCTATCCAGCAAGAATTTCCTTCAGATATG